GTAACACTCTGAAGTATGCATTATTTTATCCCCATTGAAAAGGAAAAAGTGGTGTGAAAAAATAAAAAGGATTATAATTATTGTGTAACCATGTATAATAGTGGCAGAGCCAAATTTTAACCATGCATTCCTATTCCAGAACCTAAATTCTTAAAATTGTAGTATTTTCCTTCTTAACACATTTTATTTCTGAAACAAGAACATGATACCTGAGGAATGGGACCTTCTGAGAACTGGAAATAGATCTTATAAGTTTAACATATGAATGGATATAAAATATTCATCAGAAGACTAAAAATATCAAATATAAAATTCAGGATATCTTTACGAAAGTAGATAGCACTTCGCTGTGGAACACAAATCATGCTGTTGTTATTGTTAAGTGCCATGAAGTCAGTTCTTACCCATAGCTACCCAATACAAAATAGAACCCCAAACGACTATTCCTCTGCCATTCTCACAATTGTTCCTATATTTAATCCCGTTGTTGTAGCTAGTGCGAATCCACCTCACTGAGGCCCTTCCTCGTTTTTGCTGCTCCTTTAGTCCACCAAGCTTAATGTCCTTCTCTTGGGCCTGGTCTCTCCTGACAGCATGTCCAACGTATGTAAGATGAAGTCTTGCCATCCTTGCCTCTAAGGAGCATGCTGGCCATGCTTATTCCAGGACCGATTTGGCAATCTATGGTACTTTCAACAGCTTCACCAGCACCACAATTTGAATGTATCGATTCTTCTTCGGTATTCCTCATTCAATGTTCAACTTTCACATGCATGTGAGGAAATTGAAAAGACCATAGCATGGGTCATGCTCATCTTAACCTTTAAAATCACCTCCTTGATTTTCAGCACTCCCAAGAACTCTTCTGCAACAGATTTGCCCAATGCAGTGTCATTTAATCTATAACTGCTGCTTCTGTGGTCATTGATTCTGGAACCAAACAAGATCAGATCCTTGAAAATCCAGTATGTTTTCTATTAATAAGATACTACCTAATGGTCCATTTGTGAGAAATTGAGACTTATTTATATTGAATTATAATTCATACTGAAGGCTGCTATTCTTGATCTTTACCAGTAATGCTTCAAGGTCTCCTCACTTTCAGCAAGCAAGGCTTCACAGTCTGCCTATCTTAGGTAGTTAATAAGACTTCATCCAATCCTCAAGGCCCATTCTTTTTCATATAATCCAGGTTATTTGATTATTTGCTTTGCATAGAGATTGAATAATTATGTGAAAGGCTACAGTGCTGACACCCACTGTTCCTGAATTTAACCTTGATCTGTTTGAACAATTACCTCTTGATCTATATACAGGTTCCTCATGACTACAATGAAGAGTTCTGGAATTTGCATTCTTCTTAAGGCCACCATAGTTTTTTTTAATGCTTAATATAAACACATGCATTGCATAGTCAATAAAACACAAGTCAGAATATGGTATTGTCTTCTTTCAGCCAAGATCTATCTGACATCAACAAAGAAATCCTTTGTTTCTCATCCTCTTTTGAATTTGACCCTAACCTTTGGCAGCTCCTTGTCAATAGATTGCTGCAAGAATTTGGGGATGATCAGCAAAATTTTCCTTGCATGTGATATCAATGATCTTGTTCTATAATAGAAGGATTCTGTTGGGTCACCTTTCTTTGGAATGGGTACGAATATGGATCTCTTTTATGCTGTTGGTCAAATAGTTGTCTTCTGATTTTTCTGGCATAGACTAGTAGATTGCTTCCAGTGCTTCATGAGCTTTCTGAAACATTTCAATTAGTATTACATTGATTCCTGGAGCCTTATTTTTGGTTAATACTTTCAGTGCAGCTTGAAGTTCTTTCAGTACCATTGGTTCTTGCTCATGCGATACCTTCTGAAATGGTGGAATGTTGACTAATTCTTTTTGGTACAGTGACTCTGTGTATTCTTCCCATCTTCTTTAGATGCTTCCTGCATCATTCAATACTATTCCCATAGAATCTTTCATTATTGTAACTTGAGGCTTGGGTTTTTTTGCATCTCAATTTAAGATAGGCTGAAAGTATTCCCCCCTCCCACCCCACCCCAAAGAAGCAAGTGTTCTTCCCTTTTGGTGTTCTATGTCTTTGCACATTTCATTGTAATATTTACTTTTCCCTGAGTTGACCTTTGAAATGTTCTTTTCAACTCTCTTACTTCATCATTTCTTCCAATTGCTTTTTCTACTTTAAGATTGAGAGCAAGTTTCAGAGCCTCCATTGACAATTACACTGATCATTTTCCTTCCTGGTTCTCAATGACATTTTGCTTTCATCAGGAATAATGTTTTTGAGTGTCTTCATTAATGTTCAATCTGTTGACAAGGTTCAGGTTCATTAATGTTCAATCTGTTGACAAGGTTCAGGTTACTACTATTCAAGGTAGTAATTTGGCTCTCATGGATTTGTTTTTAGTTTTTTCAGTTTCATCTGAACTCACATCTGATGAGTTGACAGTCTTCCAAAGTCAGCCCCTGGTCTGGTTTCAGCTGCTGATAGTGGTTCTCAACCTTCCTAATGCCGCGACCCTTTAATACAGTTCCTCATGTTGTGGTGACACCCCCCCAACCATAAAATTATTTTCATTGCTACTTCATAACTGTAATTTTGCTACTGTTATGAATCTGGTGACCCCTGTGAAAGGGTCATTTGACCCCCAAAGGGGTCGCGATCCACAGGTTCCAAACCACTGCTCTAGACCAATTAGTTGGTTAAAACAAGCATAACTACAGCACTGGACAATGTCTTTTGCAGCCCAATCTTGTTTCTTCCTCCTTTGATCATTCACAGTTGTTAACTATCAATAAACCCAGATCTTATACTACTACTAATGCCATGTGTGTTTCCTAGAGTATACGAAGGAGACACAGATGACAGTATGCAGTAATAATTTCATCCAGCATAATGAACAGCAAAATATTCTCACCACAGCACATCATGGTGAAAGCTCAAAGCATTGATGGTAAAAATCCAAAACTATGTCAGAGAAAAACAACAATCCAAAGGGGATGCAAGTAAAGAATTTTGGATTTGTAAAACAGAGGAGTGCTTAAAAATTACTTCCTGGATGACAGTGAACAATGTACTTGTAAAACAAAAGGAAAAAATATTTCCAATCTAGAACTTCCATATCTTCAAAATAAAAAATAAAAATTGAGAGTCTAATGAAAGCATTTTCAGACATAACAGGACTAAAAATTATCTATATACTTTATTTTAGTACTAAGATACTGGAGAATGTGCATTTTTAAAATGCAAAGTTAAATCATAGTACCTAAAGAGAGAATTCAAAGTCCTATCCAACTCAGAAAACAGGGGAATGGATTTCTAGGTCCTGGTGAAGGAAGTCAATGTGCAACCAGACACTATCTGCCTAGAGAATAACTCACACAGATTGTGGAAGACTCCAGGTGAGTATCTCTAAGTAGAAAAATAAAAGGTAGGGTCGTGGATGTGTTTAAACACGCACAGCAAACATGTACTGGTTTAGGAGGAAGTTGGATAACTTAAGAAGATGTATATATAAAACGAAGCAGAAAAAAGGTATTTGCTTCATGAAAATATAAAAGTAATACAGGAAAGGAAATATAACCATAGTATATTTCATTCTTCAGATATCAACAGTTATATATATATATATATATATATATATATATATGGTAATGATGTCTTAGTTAACATCATAATAAATGGAGAAATGTTTGAATTTGTCCAGCATTTCATCTTGCTTGGATCCACAATCAATGCTCATGGAAGCAACAGTCAAGAGGCTAAAGATTTACTGTAATGGGTAAGCTGCTGCACAAGATCTCCTTAGAGTATTGAAAAGCAAGAAAGTTACTTTGAAGATAAAAGTGCACCTAACTGAAGCCATGCTATTTTCAATGGCCTCCTATGCATGCGGAAGTTGGGCACTGAGCAACGAGGACCAAAGAAGAATCAATGCATTTGAATTGTGGTTCTGGAGAAGAATATTGAACGTACCATGGACTGCTAAAGGGATAGATTGACCTGTCAAGGAAGAAGTACAGCCAGAGTGCTCCTTATAGGCAAGGATTGTGAGACTGCATCTTACCTGCTTTAGGCATGCATGCTGTTGGGAGAGATTAGTCCTTGCAGAAGGACGTCAGGCTTGGTAAAGAAGACGGGCAAGACCCTCAAAGAGAAGGACTGACACAGTGGGCGTGACAATGGGCTCAAGCATAGGGACAATTGTAAGGGGGCACAGGACGGGGCAGTGTTTCTTTCGGCTGTACAAAGGATCGTGATGTGCCAGTACTGATTCAAGGGCACCTAATAACCACAAAAGTTACTATTTTGACTAAAAATTCTGATATAACTATCTTAGTAGGAGAATAAAAAACGGAATTTGTTTATTGGATGTTTATTGGTGATGTGAGGGGTCAATATATTACAAAGAATTTTAAGAAATAAAGATTTGTGGTTTATCATGCAAAGGCAGTAATTATTTAAAACTAAAACAACTACACCAAAGAGGTAGTAGAAGCAAGTCACTTAGAAATAAAAAGGAAAATCACAGAATAATCAATTAAAACTTTAAAAGTATTTCTCTCAGAGACACAGAAAACCGGGAAGCGGTTCCTTTATAAGTCCTACTTATAAATTTTCTTTATAAATCACCTCACAGTGTTTGGTTTTTTATATTATGCACACCTACCACAGATAGTCCTTTGATAACGGTAATTATTAGCGGGTGTGTGTTAAATGAAAAGTTGAAGGGAGCGTACGCAAACAGGCAAGACTGGCTTTGCTGAGGGCTAGAAAGGAGATTTGGATTTAGCAGCGGCATGCATTGTCCTCCCCTCATTTGCTACAGTTCTACTGCCTGTGCCACTTCATTCCTTTTTATTTATAAATAAGTATATAACTGCATCGATGTTAAAATTGCTAAAATAACTAAAGTACCTATGCCTTTCTTTGGTGTCTGTTATTTGCTTACTAAGGAGTGAAGTAAGAAAAGTGAACTTACCTAAATTAGTGAGAAGATAAGCAATTTTTTCATAAGCCTGGTAAGTGGGAGAGAAAAAAGAAAATGCTATTCTTTTCTTTTAGACAAAACTGGTATTGACACTATTGAAAAAAAATTTTAAATATGTTACACAAAATTACTATATTTTAAATTAAGCAGAAATATTTATTAAAGCATAATATGCAGTGATCTAGTGCTTTATGTATGTGAAGGAAATATGATCTAAATGTACTTAAATATATGTTGCATGCTACTGAATCCATGCTGACACATCGGGCCCAATCGGACAGAGAACTGCTTCAGTAGGTTTCCAAGACTACACTTCTTTGTAGAACAAATTGTCACATCTTTCTCTTGTTGAATGACTGGGGGGTTTGAACCTCTGATCTTTCACTTAGCAGCCGAGTGCTATCACAACTGAAACACCAAGGGCCCTTTTCACAGATATTGATATAGAGACATAGATATCATCGCATTGTCTGCAACAGCATAATTTCTGGTAGCTATGTTTACTTCCAATTTGTAAATCAAGGAAACAAGGTTCAGAAACACCAAATATTTTGCTAGACAATGGATGACCTGGGAGTTAATCTCAAAATTGTATGAGGGGGTACCCCCCAAAAAACCCAGTTTTCCCCCCAAAGGTATGTATTTAAAATGTTTTACAAAACAACCTTATTATCACCTTCAAAGTACTCTCCATTACACTTAATACATTTGTCAAATCTGCAATTCCATCCTAGGAAACATTTTTCAAACTCATCTGTTTGGATGGCTGACAGCACCTCCCTTGTTTTGTCCTTCACCTTCTCTACAACACCAAATCGCTGTCCTTTCATGTTCCTCTTCATGCACAGAAACAAAAAGAAGTCTCATGGAATGAGGTCAGGTGAGTAAAGTGTGTGGGGCAAGAGAGGCATGTTGGTTTTTGTCCAAAACTGGTACACTGAGATGTCTGTATGAGCAGGTGTATTGTCATGGTGGCAAAATCAGTCCCCTGTCTGCCACAAATCAGGCCATTTTGTGGCACACTGTTATGCAATCTTTTCAGAACCTCTAAATAGAAAGCTTGATTAACAGTCTGACCTGGGGGAACACACTCCAAATGCACTATGAGCCAACATTTTCATTTGTTGGGGAAGATGAAGGATGTCCAGAACAAGGTTTGTCATCAATCAACATTTCACCTTTTCTGAAATAAGAAAACTACTCATACACTTGAGTTTTCCCATAGCGCTGGCCTTGTAAGCTGTGTTCAACATCACAACAGTTTCTGTGGCATTTCTCCCAAGCAGGGAACAAAATTTCATAGGGGCACACTCTTCTCTTAAATCGGCCATCACAATAAACACAAATATTTGAGCAAAAAAACAAAGAGTTCAAGTGAATTGTTTTACAAAATTTCACTGTGATCAGAGAGAGCCTTCCCAGACCAGGGGATGCTACTGGATGCACGAACTGAGAGTGAGTTGCTGTATGCTCACCGAGCAGGAAAAATGCATACTATGAAAGCTCGGCGCTTCTCAGTGCAATTCCAGGTTTTGGGGGGTAGCCCTCATATGTACTGGAAGTATAATTAGAAGTATAAAATCTATTTTATAGACAAAATATATTCAAACTATTATAAAAGACAGTGTGTAAATAATGTTGGCTTGGAGACTATTTACAACAATATTAAAAAGTCAATTGATCTATGTATTGTGATGAATTGTATGAGCCCCAATAAATTGATTAAAAAAAATAAATAAAGAGAAAAATTAAGGATAATATTAGGGAAGGTAGGCCTCTTTGTATTTGAAAACATTATTAATTTAATCTCTTTTGAATATTTTAATTTAAAATGTTTGTTAATGTAATTTAAGTCAGGAAATGTTTAGAATAAATGCAATATTGTCCTACATTAAAAAAAAATAAAGTATCTTCTCTGAAAAAAAAAAGTCAATTTTTTTTTCCATTGTGGCACATCCAAAGAAACTCCATCTGCCTACCCCTTCAGTACTAGAGTTTTTTTTAATAGTTTTATTGGGGGCTCATACAACTCTTATCACAATCCATACATACATCAATTGTGTAAAGCACATTTGTACATTCATTGCCCTCGTCATTCTCAAAACATTTGCTCTTCACTTAAAACCCTGGCATCAGCTCCTTATTTCCCCCCTCGCTCCCCACTTTCCCTTCCCTCATGAGCCCTTGATAATTTGTAAATTATTATTTTGTCATATCTTGCCCTGTTCGACGTCTCCCTTCACCCACTTTTCTGTTGTCTATCCCCCAGGGAGGAGGTCACATATAGTTCCTTGTAATCAGTTCCCCCTTTCCAACCCGCTCTCCCTCTACGCTCCCAGTATCGCCACTCACACCACTGGTCCTGAAGGGATCATCCGCCCTGGGTTCCCTCTGTTTCCAGTTCCTATCTGTACCAGTGTACACCCTCTGGTCTAGCCAGACTTGCAAGGTAGAATTCAGATCATGATAGTGGGGGAGTCAAATTGTTTTGATGATCATTTTTTATCTTCTACTATTATTGCCTTGTCTCTATATGCTCTGTCCACCACTAATACGGACTGAAGGGAAGGAAACATATCACAATATTGCAAGTAAACTGAGTTAGTAATACATATTTTCTATAGGCAGAAGAAAAATATATATTTGTGCATTGCATTTTGATGCAAATAATGCATATTATGCATTAATTTCCTATGTATGTCAAACACATCATATGCATGTGTGTGTTACTTACCTGGTGGTGTTATATGCAGAAACCTTTTAGGTCTGAGAATCTGAGTATGTCATAATGAAATTATTCAAATCAAATTTCCTTTCTATTATAAATTGCAAAAAACCCTGCTGACTGGCTTGGAATATTAAAAGGTATAAACCCACGCACGTTAAAAGTTACTCATTTTCCTGACAGTTCTCTCAACTATTATAATAATTCAACTTAGCTAGAATTGAAACTTGCTTTACTTAACATTTAAATTATCATTCAGAGACAGAAATAAATAGTAGATTGGCTATACTCGTCTCATTGTACTTCAAGTGCAATTTTATTTTTTTACCTGTTATACTCAGATACTATCACTTTCAAACTGTAAAATGAAGCTGCCATGAACTATTGCCTCGTTGTCAAAGATTTCATCCAATCCACAAGCCGTGGTCAGAAAAGCAGCCGTCACGGAATCAAATGATGAACGCACTGGGCAATGCTGATGTTAAATATGTCTTTACATTGTTAATAAAACAAACATGCCACTTTGAGTCTAAAGTGTGTCTGGCCCAAGCCATAGTATTTTCAATCACCTCACATACATGTGAAGATTGAATAATAATTATGGAAAGCCAAAGAACTGATGCTTTTGAATTAGGGTGTTCGTAATGAATATTAAATATATCAGACAAATAGGAGTGGAATAAATACAGCCAGAATGTTCTCTGGAGGAGGATGGCAAGACTTGGTCTTACAGATATGGGCATGTTTCAGGAGGGCTCATTTTCTGCATTAAAATTTCAGGTTTGGTAAAGTTGAGGGTCGGCATAAAAGAGGAGGCCCTCATTGAGATGAACTGACACATTGAGATGAACTGACATTGTTACAAATGGGTTACATGAATACATTGTTACAAATGGGCCCATTGTTACAAATGGGTTCACATACAGTAATGAGTGTGAAGATGGCACAGTATTGGACAGAGTTGTACTCCATTGTACATGTAGTTGCTATGAGTTAGAAAGGACTTAAGGGCATCTAACAACGGCAAGCATGAATTTATTAGAGCCAACATTATGCTTACTCTAAAATGCTTTTTCCCCATACCCTATTTATCAAGTAAGATGATAACAGCAGAGTCCTCAAGGAATAGTTTAGGATGAACTGGATCAATCAACAAATATCACTTGGGCTGCAATGTCGCATTAACACTGAATTAAATGCTCTGGGGTGGACAGAAAAAAAGTGTTTAATTATAATATTTAAATAATTTGCATTTATAGAGGGAGATTCAGGTCTCAAGTTGCTTGCCATACTATTGGGGCATACAGAGACAAGGTATCAAAAAGTAGTACATGTTCAACCATATCAAGCGTTAGCATATAATCAAGATCAGGAAGTATTGATACTGAAGGAAGAAATTCATCCTCCACAATAAACACACTGGCCAAAATCTGGGCTCCAAAAATTAAAAGAATACTAATGATTCTATTTTGGATGGAATGCTGGAAAAGTGCTCATTCTTCTGCGCAAAGAAATATTGATGACAACTACCTAGCCAACCAAAGGTAAGAGATTCATATTTCTGCCCATTCAAAAGAAAAGTGATTCAACAGAATGAAGAAATTGTTGAACAATATCATTAATATCACAAGCTAGTATTTTTTCTGAAGATAATAAAAAATGATTGCAATAGCACAACAAAGGTAACTGCCAATATGTTAAGCTTGATTCTGAAGAAGATATAGAAAGAGGTGGTGAAGGCTGATACCAGATGGATCATGATTAAAAAAAGAATACAAAAAATAGCTTTATTGATGATGCAAAAGCATTAGACTCTGTGGGTCATAATAATTATGGATTATGATGCAAAGAGTGGGAATTCCAGCACACTTAATTGTATTCATGAGGAACTTGTACACAGACCAAGAGACAGTTGTTGAAACAGAACAAGGAAATACTGTGCACTTTAAAATATGGAAAAGTGTGCATAAAAGGCATATATCCTTTCTTAATACTTATTCAAAAACAGCAGCAAAAACAATTTGAGAAGCTAAAGTATACAAAGAGAGACTTGACACCAGAAATTATGAAAGACTCATTCATGATGAGGTCCACTCTCTCTCTCCCTCTTAGTTCCTTTCTGTGTGGTCTGGACAGACCCATCTAATGGCCCACGAAGTCCAAGGGACTACATCCAGGCTCAGAGCAGCCAAGGCACAGAGGACCTTAGGGCTGACCCCACCATGAGACGAGACATTCCTTCACCGACCCATAGCGCTACAGGGGACAGCACTGGAGACACTTTGCAGAAAGTGTGCCCGGTC